TTTTCTTAAAAATAAATGTGATGTTGTATTCACTTTTTTGACCACAATTTTGGGTGTACTGTTTTGTTTTTGTTTTTCCTGACGGGAAAACCTAACTTTTCTGCAAAGTTAGGCATTTTTTTGCTTCTTTCAACTATGAAAATTTGAACTTGCAATAACACCTTTGCTATTAATTTTCAGCTCTATTTCAGCAGTGTTCAGCTTACATTTTCAGCAAGAAGCATTCACACTAGCCTTTTCACAGGAAATGCAATTTCTTTAGTTAGATCTGTAATCAGTTTTGTTAAGTACTGAAATGTGTGTACTTGTACTTGGTTTAAAAACATGTAGTATTTGTGCATCCCTAGTTACAGTATTTCTCCTAATACATCCTCCTGGAGCATCCAGTCTGGATCTGGTCCATCCAGGGGTGATGTGGGGGCTGTGGCAGAGTGGTTAGGGGAGTCGTCCTGGAACTGGAAGGTCACCGGTTCGATCCCCTTACCCAGTTGTCTCAGTTGTTGTGTCCTCGGGCAAGACACTTCACCTCTAATGCCTCTGATGTGTGTCCCATCAGTGTATGAATGATTGGCACTGATTAGTCTCCACAGATGATTGTTCATGTTAGCMMTGTAGAGACAGAGTGCTGTGTGAATGGGTAAATGAGGACACAGACTGTAGTATGAAGAGCTTTGAGTGTCCTGGTTGGATAGAAAGGCGCTATACAAGTACAGTCCATTTACCATGTGTGTGTGTGTGTGTGTGTGTGTGTGTGTGTGTGTGTGTGTGTGTGTGTGTGTGTGGTGACATTGTACTAGTGTTGGTGTGGGCGTACAGCTGGAAGCGTTACGTAATGAGGTGATGTGCTCATCCCCTTCATGGGGGGTGGGGGGCACTGAATGACTGAGGCTAACAGAAACCTGAATGAGGTTTTCCAGCGGTGGTGGTCAGTGATGGGTGTTCTCCAGTTGCCATGGGGGCTGAAAGGCTCTGTGGGAGCAGGAGTGGGTGAGGGTGGGGTGGTGACTGTGCAAACTCACCCTGTCAGCTCAGCTTTAGCACTCATCTGTACTGCTCTACCTCCTTTTTCTTGCAAACCACTGTGGCACTTCTCCTAAAGAAGCCACCTTTCTACCACCAACCCACACGTGCACGCTCACGGACACAGACCGAATCCTCCAGCTGCTCAAAGCAGAGCGTTCGGCTGAGGAACACCGAGTAATGACGCAGACTCACTCTCCGTGTTCCCTCTCTGAGTATAAACAAACTAGCATGCTCACTAAAGCATCACCTGAGGTGTGGTCTTATTCCACACACACGCACACACACGCACACACACGCACACACACACACGCACACAATCACCCCAAAGCAGCGGACCAGTTCCACTCTTACCTGTCTAAGATGTCATGGCTGGATGTGGCTGCAGCTCCCAGCAGTCCCAGTGCTGCACTCCCCACCGCTGCAGCAGCCCCGCTGCCTGCCTCCATGATACTGACTCACCGCAATGAGCAGCCTGCCAGAGAGGTGGAGGGGGAGGGACGAGGAGGAGGAGG